CAGTAAGCCATCTCCCCAGTGTCCCAAACTATTTTTAAACGAAAACTAAAGTAAATCACTGGACTTCAAATGATTTAGTCGGACCACCACAAAAAGGAAAAGAAAATCAGCAAGAATGTGAATTATCTAATGTGAAGACGTGGCCAACACTATATCCAGTACATTTTTATTATTAAATATGTTATTTCAGCTACTAAGATAACATATATTAAGTATTCAGTTTAAAACGATAAAAGAAATAAAAGTATTCAGAAATAAGTAGAATACATTAATGAGAGGAAAGGAATGATGGGTATAAATAAAGCTGAACATTAGTTCTTTGGAAGAACAATACTTAAAAACGAGACAAATATTTGAAAAACCAAATGATGAGTAAGCCATAAACACAAGTTGAAAGGAAAAGAGGGACAGGTCCAAATGAAGAGAATCTTTTGATGTAATTATAAAAATACAGTGTATGATTAAGGTAATTATCTCAAAAGCTCTACACAATGAAGAATTCTCTAGAGGATAAAAGACTTATAAATCATCAAAATGAATCTAGGGAGTTAAAAAAGTATACAATAACAACATGGAATTCTCAGAGTAAAAAATAAGTAATAACTAATAACATGAATTATAATAACTCTAAACACTGTCCAAAGATTAGTTGAATTTCCCCTTCACAGATCTTGGACATGATCACTAGTAAATTCATTTTTTAAATATTTATTTTATTTTTCAATGATGTATATTTATGTGTGTCTTTATGAGGGTATGTTCACATAAGTGCAGTGCCCACAGAGGCCAGATGATGCCATCAGATCCCCTGAATCCAGAGATATTTGGGTACTGGGAACAGAACTCAGAACTCAGGTGCTTTACAAGAGCAACAAACACTTTTAACTGCTGGGCCATCTCTACAGCTTCAGTGAACTACTTTAAACTGTTAAAGACGTAATATTTCCTAAGCTATAAAAACTATTCAAAAGCATTATGAAGGGTAAAAGCTACTCAGATCGTTCTCCAACATGAGCTTAGCCATGAGACTGAGACTTCACAAAGATAGCACCAATCTAACATCTGACGATAGAGATAAGAATCTACATAAAATAGCAAGGAAAAAAGAAAAAAAAAGGTCAACATGCAGAGAATAAGAGACTGTGGAGTGCTCAGCCCTAAATGGAACACCTACAATTGTACCCTCTCCTCCCATGATTTGAGAATCATTATGAAAGAAGGGTTAGAAAGATTGTAAGAGCCAGACCACCACAGGGTAGTTGCACATATGAACATGTTGCACTTATGACAACATGCGACAGACTTGTGCAAACCCTAGTCACACAGGGACCCAGCATGGATGGGAGAGGTGGGCAGGAATCCCCAGCTCTAGCTGAGGATCTATTGGCAACTGATGGGTGCTGGGAGAAAGAAAGTCAGTTTTCTTGCTGGTGTGGTGCCTGGTAGGTTGACCAGACTCCAAGAGATAGACCCACACCCAAGAGCACTTGGGAAACACAGATTAGACTTGATAGACTTAACAACAACAACAACAACAACAAAAGAACAAATAATTAGGGGACATGAAGCCAGGTGGGGGATAGGAAGATAGAGGCGGAGAAAGGGGATTCTGAATATGATAAACACATTGCATGAAATTCTCAAATCAATACAAATACCTTTTTTAAAAATCTTGGAATGTCTCACACAATTGCCAAACATACTCTGTAAAAACAGAAGGTAAGGTAACGCTAGTTCTGTGAACTCTTCTTTTCGTGCAAGTCCATAACCTGCCACCAGTTGACAGAAAGGAGCACAATGAGAAGACACGGACTACTTTTTAAAAGAGCAAAAGTCCCAGGGGAAAAAACAAAAAACAAACAAACAAAAAAAAAAAACAGAAAAAGAAGTCAGTACAAAGACAGGCTGATGTGCCTCAGTATGGAGAACACAAAGATTATGACATTGTGGAATTTACCCTATCTCACTGACCCTAAGTTGCACTTTTTTTCACCTTCTCTGAAGAGGTAACTCTAATACATAACATCTTACAGTTAATTCATCTTTTTCTTTCTCAGTAGTATATAAAATAATGTGTTTTACAATCACTAATGTCCTTATTTAAATGAATTACAGTGATACAAATACTTCATACTAAAAGTTTTTTAAAAGCAATCATAAGGTTGGAGAGATAGCACATACTGTTCTTATAGAGGACCTAAGTTCCCAGCACCCACATCAGGCAGCTCCCATCTGCCTGTAACTCCAGCTCTGTGGGAGCCAATGCCCTCTGCTGGCCTCGGAAGGGACCTTCACTCACATGCATATACCCACACAGACACACATAGACACATAATTAAAAATAAAATAAATTTTAAAAATAAAAAATCTTTTAAAAGCTCATTTCAATGGATGTTTGAAAGGCATTTGATAATGCTTATTACCCATTCCTGGTTTTTAACCAGGACAGATCCTTAAGGTGACACCAGGCATGTATTTCAAAACAGCAGCTACTGTGATAATTAAATGTGGAACATCATGGGCATCCCTGTTAAAACCAAGAACAGAAACAGCACACACACTACCAGCACAATGGTTGTTTGCTGTGGGGCTTTTGACCACTCCACGAAGCCCTGAAACAAAAGAAGAAAATATCAATACAGGAAAAGAAGCAGTCACCCTCAATTATTTTCAGGAATTCTATGATTAGATTCTGTGATTGAGGGAGAAAAAGCGTACCAACAGAGAAGTTGTTTGAATGAAAAACTTCACACACAAAAAAAACTAGATGTAAAATAAATATGCAAAAGCAAGAAACACACCCATGTTTGTGGGAGGAAATTTCAGAATAAAAGGATAAAAATGTCAAAATATCACTTGTAAAGAAAATTTTTTAATATTTTATTTTTTTTATGTGTGAATGTATTGTCTGCATGTGTATAAATGCACCTGTGTTGTGCAATGCCCATGGAGGACAGAAGAAGGCATTGGATACTCTGGAACTGGAGTTAACAGATGGTTGTTAGCCGACATGGGTGCTGAGAATCAAACCCAGGTCCTCTGCAAGAGCAGTCAATGCTCTTAACCACCTCTCCAGCCCCGCTAGTTACTTTCTATTGATGCAGCAAAACACTGACCAAAACCAACTTGTGGAGGAAAGAGTTTATTGTATCTTACACTTCCAAGCACAGCCCATCATTGAGGGAAGTCACACAGGAACTGGAGGCAGGAGCTGAGGCAGAGACCATGGAAGAAAGCTGCTTATTGGCTTGCTTATTCTGGTCTGTGCTCAACCTGCTTTCTTATACAACCCAGGACCACCTGTCCAGGGGTTTCACTGTCCACAGTGAGCTGGTCCTCCCACATCAATTACTAATCAAGAAAATGTAAGAAAATGCCTCACAGAGATGGCCACAGGCCAATCCAATGGAGAAAAATGGAGGAACTCCTCAATTGAGGGCCCCTCTTCCCAGGTGTGTCAGGTTGACAACTGGAGCTGTCCATCACAGGACTCCCACTCACCCCCTGGGCAGCCTGTGTTTGTTTTGGTCTGATTCTGAAATCCCTCCCACAGGCTTGTACTATGAATGTTTATTCGCCAGGCAGTAGTGCTATTCTGGGAGGCTGCAGAGCCTTTCGAGGGCAGGGCTAGCTGGAGGAAATAGGTCACTAGACAGTGGACCTTTGAGGGTTTTACATAGCCCCAATTCCTGACGCTTTTTTGCTTCCTGGTTTGTCCCGATGTGAATAGCCTCCACTACACTCCCACCCCCATTAACTGAGTTGATGGGCTAAAACCCTCTGGAACCATGAGCCCAAATAAATCTTTCCTCTCATAACTCATTGGGTATTGTGATCCTCCTGGTACTGGGATTACAGATTTATGTTGTGGTAGAGATCAAACCCGGGGCTTCTGGAAGCACTGTATCAATTGAGCTATATTCCTCAGCCTGATTTATATAATGTTTGACAGTGAGTAAAAGTTATCTCTGTGGGTAGAAATCACAAAGTATAATTAGCTCTGGGATAGGGAGAGAAACAGGAAAGGAAGAGAAAGAAATTCCCTAAGGAGACAATGGTGTTTCTGCCTAGTGTGGTGATACATGCCTGTAAGTCCTACATTCAAGAGGTAAAGGCAGGAAGATCACAAGTTCAAAGCCAGTGAGAGCTACAACAGAATGAATTCAAAGTCATGTTGACTGTGTTAGTGAGACTCAAAAACCAAAGAAGAAAGGGGGGTGTTATTGTCCAGTGATAGAGCATTTGCATAGCACATGCAAGGCCCTACTAATTGTTTTGTCTTTTTGAGACAGGGTTTCTCTGTAGCCCCAGCTGGCCTGGAACTCATTATGTAGACCAGGCTGGCCTTGAACTCACAGAGACTGCCTGCCTCTGCCTCCTGAGTGCTGGGATTAAAGGCGTGCACCACCATGCCTAGTCAAGTCCCTACTATGATGGATGGATAGAGGGATGGATGGATAGATAGATAAATAGATAAAGTGGATACATAGGTGATCGACTGGCAGATGGATGGATGGATAGCACCACCATGCCTAGTCAAGTCTCTACTATGATGGATGGATAGAGGGATGGATGGATGGATAGATAGATAAATAGATAGATAGATAAAGTGGATACATAGGTGATCGACTGGCAGATGGATGGATGGATACATAGATTTATTTGACTGACTGACTGATTGATTGATTGACTGATTGACAGACAGAAAATAGAAGTCTGAGTGCAGCAGTATATGTCTGGAATCCTAGCACTCAGAAGTCAGAAGCAGGTGGATCTCTGAGTTCAGGAACAGCCTTGTCTACACAGTGAGTTCCAGACCATCTAGGACTACATAGTGAGACCCCCACCTCAAAAACAAAAAGATAATTTAGTGCTCCATATATTAATTGGGGTGTTGGTTATACAGACGTACCCATGTAGCAACATGCTCTCTGATCTCTCCATTTTACTCAAAGCGATTACAGTTGTGAAAGAAGAATATCATTTCTTTGAGACAGGGTGAGTGATACACTGAGTGACCTAGGGAAAGTTACTTAACCTCTCTGTGCTTTGCTTGCCCATCTGCAAGTGGAATAATCACAGGTCCTACCTCAAGGAGAACTAAATAAAAAAGACAAAGAAGTCTCATGGGAGGCTAGTTCATGGCTAAAGCCACGTAGCGTGACCATATTGTTATCAAAGACCTATGGTCCTATATACCTTGTATATTTTAGAAGGGGGCTGCCTGCAGGAAGGCTGCCTCAATGCAGGCAGCTCAGCTGGGGTGGGACCCGAGGCCTGTAGAAGAACTGTGACTGGTAAATCAGGGGATAAATGAAAGATATCGTAGGGGATTTCCAATATTAAGGTTGACCTGGTTGATGCCTTCAAGCCCCCTCACCGCTCTCTGCTACAATGGGAATGTGTCCCCCAAATTTCATGTGTTGGGAACTTAATCCCCAAATACATTATTAACAGGTTAGGATGTGAGACCTTTGAGTGATGATTAGGGTTAGATGAGGCCATGAAACTGGGGCCCCCATGATGGCATCTGTAGTTTTTCAATGAGAGGACATGAGACCTGAGCTAGCACACTTTCTCTGAATGGACGGATAGATGGATGGATGGACTGACTTATGAGAGGAAGGCTCAATGGATAGCGTGTGTACATGAAGTTATGGAGACCCTTCACTGTGTCTAAACACCATAGGAATGTGCCCTATTTCCCACAAGAGAGCTCTTGGAATTTCTGTGCAGCGAGGTCACTGCAGCTGAGGAAGGAAATGTGATAGCTCACTGAGTCTTCTGGGTGGCATTTGTGGAAAGGCAGAGAATCCCCACACATACCTGCGAGTCCTCTGACTCATCATCCTCCTCCACCGAGCTCCACTCCTGGGACAGCCCAGTCTCTTGAGAAGACAGATCTGAGGAGGGTTAGAACAGAGGGGAAAGGAGCCGTGACTGAGTGACCAGCACCTGGGCTGGGCTCCTCTGGCTCTTCCCATGGACCCTATCATTCTGTACTGATGATCTAACACACACATACACACATATACACACATAAATACACAACAGACACATACACTGTATACACATAAATAACACACACATATACACATATACACAGCATAACATCTACATATACACACATATATGCACACATATATGCAACATACATAACACACATATGCACACATAAATACACAATAGACACATATACACATAAATAAATACATACACATAAATATACAACATACATATATACACACATAAATATACAGCATATACATACACACACATAAATACATATCATATACACATGTACACACATAAATATACAACATACACATATACACATAAATACAGAACATACATATATACACATAAATACACAACATACACACATCTACACACATATACAACACACATAGACATACAAATAAGTACACATATATGCATTCACACATGCACATACATCATACTCACATAAACATACAAACATACACACTTATATGTGCATGCACATACACATATATACACATACACAACCATGTATACACATGTGCACATGCATACATACACATGCACACATATATGCATACACATACACAGATACGCATATATACACTGCATACATACATATGGACACACACATATACCTAACACACACGTACATGCATGCATACACACACATATACACATGTATGCATATAAACATAAACAGAGACACATGCATGTGCATGCACGTGTATACACAACACATATGCAAACATACATACAAGTACATATATATATACAAACATATATGCACTCAAATATACACATGTTCATGTGGGGCTGATAACATGAGAGACCTGAATTCAGACCCTGCGGCTACCACACAGCTTAACCCCGGCCATCAGTGGGCAGCACCCGCTGAGCCTCCTCAGCTATCTGACAGGTAAAGTTCCCTCTTTGGGCCTCCAGTGGAAAACTGAGTGAAGGAGACAGAGAAGACGAGAGAGCTGTGCCGGGAGCTTCCCTCACCTCTTAGGAGAGAAGCTTCCAGGCAAGAATTTTACCCACAGTTGTAACCTCTGCATCCTTTTCACATAAGCTGAATAAAGTCGGCAATGAGTGGATTTTTTTCTTTTATGAGACAGGGTCTCACTATGTAGCCCAGAGCCCCAAATTCATGCATGATCCTCCTGCCTCAGCCTGCCAAGTGCTGGGATTACGAGTCAGCTACCATGCCTGGCTTTAAAAGACTAGGGTTTTTTAATTTTGTTTCTGTTTGTTTACTTTTTAAACATTTTGTACTTTTTTTTTCCAGAGGAGGTACATGGCACACATGGCTCTAGGGATCAAATTCAGGTCACCAGGCTTCATGGTAAGTGCCTTTATCCACTGAGCCATCTTGCTGGCCCGAACCTGGTCTTCTGGTCTTTTTGTTGTTTTATCGTTTGGTTATTACTGTTTTTGTTTTGTTTTGTTTTGATCTTTGTCTTCTGAGAGCAGAGTCCAAACATCCTCCTTATATCTTGGCTGTCCTTTTCCATTTCCGCCTTTGTCTGCTTGTCCCTGAGGAAGAAGGCGGCCCAGCCCCTTTCTGTAGGATATCCTTCAGATGACTCCTGTTCTCTCAGAAAATGGCACCAGCCTATGTTCATCTGTTTGTGTCAAACCCCGAGAGCCAGCTTTTGTGTTTCTCTTTTCCTGCCCTTCCTCATACCACCTACCAAGAACTGAACCTCCCTCCAGAAATTTCCCAAATACCTCCACTAATCTCACCTTTTTCTTGAACAGTTTCAGGAGTCTTTTAAAAATTTTTTTATTACATTTATTTTCTGTGTGTGTGTGTGTGTGTGTATGTGTGTG